GTCTTACGGGTTTCACGAAAAACAATTGGTCTCACATGATCTCAAGTCTATATATATATATATATATATATATATATATATATATATATATATCTTCTACAAACTCAACCACTAGTACAAATTATAGAAAATTAATTGAGATATATTTATATAAATGATCAGAGTCTATTTTTTATAATTTAAATATATGTGGCATATTATCAGAGTTCAATATTATGATCAATGTTTTGTATTGGGGAAACAATCTAGATATTCATCGAATCATATGTTCATTAGAATAGATGAATAATTGAGATTGGTTTGTATGATTTATACAAATACTTGGGTTTGTAAATGAAACCACCTCTCTCTCTCTCTCTCTCTCTCTCTCTCTCTTTATATATATATGACCTTTTTTAGAATACATGAAATTGTGATAACCTTGAGAACTTGTTCATCATATGTTATTTTATATGATCTTTTTTCATCTAAAACTAAGATTTAGAATATTGATTAACATATATTTGTTTCACAATGCAAATCTTTTTAGTCTGCTTGTGAGATATAAGTTACATGTAAAAAGGATTCATATTGTGAACCGTATACATATGAAACAAACACATGGGGCTCATTCAAGGGAGAATTGAGTAGTTTGTGGTAACCGTGAGATCCAATCTCAACCATAAATCAATAGATAAATTAGGAAATTTTTAATTTTGGTAACTTTTAATTAAAATTTTAATGCAAGGACATTTTAGGTATTTTCTCTCCTCTCTTATCTCTCTGTCCCCGTCTTCCAGCCTCCGGTCACCTTCCTCCGGTGATACCACAGTGTGATACTCAAGCACATATAAGAGGCATTGTGATACCACTGTGTTACATATCCGATCGACCACACAAACGACCTCAGTGTGATACCCAATCACATATAAGATACATTGTGATACCACTATGGTATCATCGAAGGACGGTGGTCGGAGGCCTAGAGACGGAGAGAGAAGAAAGGAGAGAGAAGATAAAATACCTAAAATGTCCTCACATTAAAAATTTTAATTAAAAATTACCAAAATTATAAATTTCCTAATTTATCTATTGATTTGTGGTTGAGATTGGACCTCACGGTTACACAAACTAATTAGTTCTTATTTGATTAGGCCCCACAAACACATTGTATAAACAAATATATATATATATATATATATATATATATATTCATCAATGCAATAAATGATGGCCTTAGATGAGAAATAAATTATGTGAAACAATACCTTAACATAAAAGTTCTCACGGTTATCCAATTTATGGAGTTCTCAGATGATCCCCCCCCCCCCCTCCCTCCCTCCCTCAACACACACACACACACACACATATAAACACTTTTATTTTACCAAAACACAAGAATATCCTTATCATATATGATAAAATAACACATGATTAAGCTTATATATATATATAAGAAAAAGTTCAAAAGAGAACACCAAAATAGCACATGATTTAGATTGCACCAAAATAACATTTGGTCGCAGGACACATCGTCTACACACCCTTGTCACATGTGATAATACACATGAGGGGACTTGGTGGTGTGCAGATGGTGTGTCATGCAACCTAGGTCGCACCAGATGTCGTTTGCATCTCTGATTTAGTACACATATGATTGATTATAGTATCACATCAAAAACTTTTATTACGTATGATAATGCATGTGAAAAGGCCTAGTCGTGTACGAGCGACTTGGCCCGCAACCTAGAAATTGCCAAAGGTTGTTTGCATCTTTGATTAATATCATAGTAAAAGGGTGTTCTCCTCTGAACCTTTCCCTATATATACAAGTTTAATCATTTGAGAACTCCATTTATAAGATCCGTGAAAAATTCTACCTTAAAGTGTTATTTTACGTGATTTTCTCATCTAACTATAGTATTTAATATATTGATTAACATATATATCTGTTTCTCAATGCGGATTCACAACATGAAACTTTTATGCCTGTATTTTTATCTCACAAATACAACAAAATGTTTCTCATTGTGAACCGATTACATGTGAAACAAATACATGTTAATTAGTGCATTAACTTCTAGTCATAGATGAAAAAGAATCATATAAAATAGCACACATTTTTCTTTAGAAATCTCACGAATTCGGGAGTTCTAAAAAAAAGTCATTATGTGTATCATTTAAAAGTTACATCGATCAAGTTTTATATTAGATGTCACATATAAGTGATAACATTCTAGTACTCTTGAAACTAGAAATAGTTATATATAACTTTCACTCGTTTTTTCTTCAGACACGTGGTTAGAACCCCAAACTCATTCCACACGCAATTGCTCGAGTTTTGCTCTTGTAAACGGGTTGTCGTCATTACAGGTTGAGAATCTGATTTCGTAATCATACGACAACTAACTTTCGTTTCTATTTTAAATATTATTTCAGAGTAAGGTCTAACACAGTCCCTGAGTTATGTGATGTAAACATTTTGTCTGCTTCCGTTTTAATTTTTTATGTTTTTTGTCGCCTTGAACCGTAATTTTTTTTAGCTTTAATGCTTCTTGATTATAAAATTGATGTAACTAAAAAAATATTTAGTATTAATAAATTATAAGGACATCACTATCACAAGTTTTAGGTTGCGGTACGCATCCCCGCTTTTTTATATGGCCTATAAATTTTAAGAACTTAGTATTTAACTTGTGAAATTTATTGTATTTCATAATTTATTCAACTTATTAAAATATATATATATATATATATGTGTGTGTGTGTGTGTGTGTGTGTTGGGGGGGAGGGTTAGGTTCTGGTAAGAAGGAAAATTATAGTGAGAAACGCAAGAAAATGTCTGCATACTTGAATCAATCCTAATTGAATGTCAACACTAACGAGGTGCACCGAGATGCACCGGATCAATTTTCTTCTAAAACATGGTTCATGAGTGTGCATGAAATTAAAATTGATCAACGGTTCAGATCTCTTCCTACGTTTCTCATTATAACTTTCCTTCTCACACGAT